TGACGCATACTGCGCCATCTTTTCTGCCAGGGCTTGGTCTCGCTCATGTCGCAAGATGCTGTATTCTCTCGGTGTCTTGTTGGTGCGTTGTGATGCAGGATCATTAACCTTTTTATTGGCTGCATTCTGCGAAGCTGTGTGCTGTTGCTTCTGAGCAGCTGTCTCCCGTTTCTTCGCCAGCTTACGCATTGCGTCAAGAAGTGTGAGGTGCTTCTGATTCCGTCGTCTCTCCACTCTGACGGGAGTTGACGGAGGTCGTCTCCGTCCAGGGGTAACTGCGCCATTGGCTGGGTTGATTTGCTGTGCCACGAGCTGGTTTTGCTGTGCAATGAAGTTCTGGGCTGCGGTGATACGTCCTGTATAGGCTTTGAAATATTGAGTCTTGGACATATCGGCTGGAAGTCCTTCGAGAGAAATCCATCTCTCGAAACATTCCCACGGGGACCGTCTCTCAGCACCCGAAGTAAAGCGAGATTTGGGTGCCAACATGCTGGCAATAAGGGACCAGTTGTAAGAGTATTCCCGGACAAGATTTCGAAGTTCATCATCCTCGTTAATTGTCCACTGAGAGGGGCTTCTGCATTCGAAAAAGCTCTGTAACGGCATCGGATATTCCGAAGGCGGTCGGAACTGATGGCCAACATAGAGGCGATCGCGAATATGCTTCATCTCGGGATTAAATAGGGCCACCTCATCAGTAGCTGGTGGTAGAGGAAGACTGGGTGAAGGATCACTGCTAACAAAACCAGCCTCACCCTCGTCATCCGAATCCTCGTTCTGGTAATCATATCGGCTGCGCTTCCTTGGCGGACCATCTGAAACCAACTTCATGTGACCTTCAACATACTTGCTCAGTGGTAGAGCTGGTCGTCGCCAATGAGCATCAGGATCCCATTCAGGACCTGTAAGGTCAAATTTGGGAACCTGGAGAGGCTTTCCAAACATGGGTAGCTCCTCCAGAAGTTGGTCTGCAGCAGCTGTTCGACGAAGTCCAAAGATAACGTCGTCGTCTTGCAGAGAGAAGATGGCGGACGGTGCTATCGTCTCAGGAAAATCCTCAGTTAAATCATCCAGGTTGTCAATAGACTCGACATCTCCGCTTGAGATGAGATCAGGTGTGAGTTGATTTTCGCCCTCAACATCACCCATCGAAACGTCGGGGGCAGGCTGTGCCTTCGGAGGTATCACAGCAGGAACCTGCATCAATTTTCGCTCTTCGGGGGTAGATTCGTGCCATTCTGCGCAAGCATATGCAAGATTTTTTGCAACAGCCCTTTTCCATTTGCGTTCTTCTCGAAAATCAGTTCGCATCCATTTCATTTCTTGGAGCATGACATCCCAGTGCGACGGGGGGCGTGTTGGCTCAGGGCAGCGCTTGGGTTGTCGTAGAGACCATTTGTCATGCTGCTGTAGGTGGTAAACCCGGCGCAGAACTTTACAAGCCTGATGGTCCTGAATGGCAAGATTGGCATCAGGGGTAGTCACGGTCTTGTTGGCTGTGTACAAGATCTTCTCGATGGGCTGCATCCAGGAGGAGCTGCCAGCGAATCCCTGGACGAAAAGGGGAGTGTAGTAGTCCTCTGTCGGTATGATCGGATCGCGCTGGCTGGCCACTATTGACCTTTCGTCTGCTTTCTTGGATTGCTTTCCGAAAACAACGGTCGAGGGCTGGCTTCGTGACCTCTGCCTTTGATGAGCTGAGATATGGCGATGTCTTAAGCTTGGCGATTTGGGTGTCGAAGTCAAGGGGGTCAATTGATTGTCCAGGCTTTTGTTGGTCGAAGTGTGCTCTACGGTCGGGGTTTGTCGAGGAGTTGCACCGACAATCTCGCTGACTGACTTTGGGCGCATGGCTCCGGAGGACACTCTGGTAACAGCGCGCTCAACCTTTTGGGGGGACTCTTTGGGTGCCGACTCCACAGGTACAGTGGCAACATCAGAAATGGGCGCTGGCGTAGGTGTTGACGGGGCTTTCTCGGTAGCCTGTGTACTCCCATCTGATTTGACCTCTTGACTTTGAGTTTGAGCTTGAACGGTTGCTTTGGGCTCAGGGACGTCCACATCCATCTGCTCAGGGGGCTCCTCTTGGCTGTCTGGAATCTCTTTAATGCCTGGCACTTCATCTGAGTTCTCAAATGAGTTGGCTCGTGCTATATCGATATCAGATTTAGTTTGAGTACTGTCTTCTTTGACTTGTTCGTTAGCATTGATTGCAGTCGGCTGAACAATAACATCATCGGCACCCGACATATCAACATCTTCCGAAACTGGCGCTGAAGTTACGGGTTCTGTTTGGTGACTAGGACTCGCTGCTGTTGCCGCTGCCTCCGCCGCAACACTCGATCGTATAGATTCCTGCAGCAATTGAGCTTCAGCAGAGTCAGGGGGTGCTTCCAGCACACGATTCTGTAAGTCTTGGCTCAAAGTAGCCCCAACATCATCACTCGTTTCTTTCTCATCTTTCTCGTTAACCCCCTCCTCTACCTCATCCCCGGTCTGTTTCTCTTCAGCTGGCTCCACAAACTGTGGTCCCTCGTGCTCTGGGCTTGTGTCTGTCGAAGCATCGTCGTGAACCGCGGGCGTAGTTGCGCTTTGTGCAGTTGAACCAGGTGAAGACAAGGCATCAGGCGCACGGGTGGCATCTGTGGGTGGCTTGACTGTCAACGCGGCACCTCTAGTATCAGATGAAGTACTGGGCCCTCGACTTGTTTTCTCCGCCGTTGATGCCCCTGGCCCAGCATTTTCTCCCTTTGTCCCCGATTCAAAAGTAACTTGAGGCTGACGTGGTGCAGGCGTGTCTGAGACCTCTAAGGCATTGGGTATATCCTCCGCTTTCGATTTTGAATTTGCATTGGTGTCAGCAGCGGTTTGGGTAACAGGACTGGTCGTCGAGGTCGGCTCTACAATCGCATCCTCAGGTAGGGGTACAGGCTGGCTTGTCGGTGTAGGGAGAGAGCCCGCTTTGTCGGTCGTAGCGGGATCTGTCGAAGGCGGAGGGCTCGGCGTTCGTTTTGGAGGCGCATCACCAACTTTGGGAGGTGGATAAGTTCCATTAGATTGTTCTTTGTCCTGCACATTCGCAATCTCAGGTTTGCTTGCATCCTCGAGCGTCCGTTTCGGCGCGGGCTCGGGCGCAATGAATATGGCTTTTGTCAGAGACTTTTTGAAGAGTTCGAGAGAGATTGTTGGTCTCGCTGGGATACTGGATTCGTTCAGCGTCTTGCCTCTGTATCCATGTTAGTACATTATATATATTGGCAGACCGACACGCGCGCAAATCAATTTGGAAAAACGCGCAATGGTATCGCAGGACGTACTGGATGATATCGTTGGCTTGCAAGAACTGCCATTCGGCTGGTGTTGTGGTCGGCGCGTCGGGGTTGGTCAAGACTGGGTGTGGGAGACCCTCGGACTGTGTCGCAACTGCGAACAGCTCGCGCAGCTTGCGCTTCCGCGACGTCACAATTGAACTGAGGCAAGTTAGCAGCCCGAAAAATATATCCTGACGATCGGAAAAATCGGCTCTTTTGTCTGAGCCCATACTGACCTGCACTCATTGCGCTTTGTTTGAAGCAGCCTTGATAGATCGGCGGCTCCGACCTCAGTCATAGCATCGACGGCCGCGACATCCGTTTTTGGACGAAACGGACGTTGCAAAATGATATTCTTGAGCGCCTGAGATGAATGCAGGTGTTTTATACGATGAAAGACGCTGGTGTTGATTGTTTTTGGGGTGTCGTTGTTGAAGGCGACGTCGCTGGAGGGCGTCAAAATTTCTGTCTCTGGGGAGACGATAACCGGGCGGTTTGTTGGTGGTTTACAGCTCAATGCGCTGAAAGCAGTGGAGCCTAGTTAGAGCGTGAGTGCACGGGGGGGGGCGCTGGGCGCTGTAGGCTGGGGAAGTGTCGGGGAGGGGGATGTTGGTTAATGGGCTTAGGGGGGGGCAATCAAACAGGCGTCAGCGAATAGTGGGTGTAGAGCCAGTGGTGGGTGGGAGAGGGAGGAGCAAGGTTTAGGATAAGGCCAAGATTAGAAAGAGGAGAGACAATTTGTTATCCCAGAAAATACCATGATTCGTGATCAATTGATAAGGCTAGTAACAGATTTCCTTACGCTTGCGGCGCCAATACGCTAGTATGCATAACGCTAGTGAACAGAAAGGGGGATAGAATGGTAATGCACCCTTGTACATGTGCAGTACCAACCCAACCCAATTACTAGCCAACTAGAACCTAATAGAAACCAAAGAGAGTGACGAGTCCTGGACGTAACAAACTTGCTGTATGCTCTTATTTCTATGTCTGTAGCAGTCATTTCATATAAATAAAATCCAAGTGTAAATGGAAGCGCAAACCTAGAGCCTGTTACACTTTAACACATCATCTTCTCTTCTTATTATGATCATCCGGGGCTGAAATTCCTCCTCCTCTTCTTCTTATTCAGCCACTGGTCTTGGACTTGAAATAAAAGGTTGCTATCCGACAAGTTCCCGAGGAGGAGGTCCTGGAAAGTCTCACAATACGGCACTTTATTTGCAATATGGAACATCATAAGTACCTTGGTGAAGTACAGAAAACTTAAAAGATTGGAGATCTATAAGTTTAAAAGAAAAAGAAGTTTTCTAATATACAAGATATCACCCGTCTAGAGATATCTAATTTTCAATAATAATTATCTACGATGTTTCCTGTTAAATGTGGCTATTTTATATCTTGGTACAAATGGTACACATGGTAACGGAGGTCGTTCTCAAAAGTCTTTGCCCAACATGACTTACGCCACAATTACTAATCTCTGTCAGGTACAGAGGTATACAAGAGATAAGAAAGTCTATAGAGGCACTGCCTTGTAATCACCTTATAATTATAAGGTATTTAGGGAGAATCTCTAAGTATTTTATTAACTGCAACTACTATAACTTAATCATAATTAGCGACTATTATCTCGCTAGATATATCTCTGGTATCTTATCAAAAATAGGTCGACCAGCCATGGTCTTCTTTGGCAAAGACTTTTGAGACCGACCTCCGTAAATGCATTGAGATAAGGTGTCATTGCTGTGTTGGCCCGATCGAGCACCGCCACAATAAGGCGCGCAACAGTGCAGCTGACGTCTTCCAAAAATAATTCCATCTCTTCAAATGAACTTACACAGTTTCAATAACAAATATCCGCCAAAATGTCCGAGCAAAGCAAACCTCCGGCTCCGCGAATAGCAATCAAGTTCGGCGCTACGTCGAACAATAACAACTCGAAGAAAGCATCAAAACCAAATCCACCCTCGTCGCTAGGGAAGCGGCCACGATCACACGCTCTGGGGGTCGCTTCCGACTCTGAGGATGATGATTATGAGCATCGAGGACGGCATGAGAAGATCACAGGCTTTGGGGTGGACGGAGCGGAGACGGAGCGCAAGGCCAAAGACTCGAGGATGGAAAAGAAGGACTATGTGATTGTCCGACAACCAAATCACGACTGGAGATCAGAGGCCAAGGCTCAGAGGAAGAGCAAATATTCGCTGCCCGAGGAGGCAAGAGCGCAGCAAAACAACACAACCGTCGAGACGGAACCTGCGGATCAGGACAAGGGACTCAAATGGGGTCTGACGATTAAGGAGAAAACCGAGGACGACAACAAGGATATTGGATCAGAGTCTAAGGAGAAGCCAGTCTCCAATGATGGCGACCAGAAAAAGCCACCGCCCAAACGAACAGCAGATGACGAAGCAATGGACGCTCTACTAGGCAATAAGGAGGAGGACGAAAAGATCATCCATCCAACCGAAGCGGACGCCTACCGTCGCGACATCCAAGGAGCAGGAGAGACATCCACGCTTGATGACTATGAAGCCATGCCAGTGGAAGAATTCGGCGCAGCTCTTCTCCGCGGTATGGGCTGGGACGGAAAACCTCGCGGTACAGTCAAGGAAGTCAAGCGACGTCCGAACCGAATCGGCCTTGGTGCTAAGGAGCTTAAGGGTGAAGAGGACCTTGGCGGGTGGAATCAGAGCGGAAAGAAGAACAGACGACCGCGCTTGGACGAGTATCGCCGAGAGGAGAGTAAACGAAAAGAGGGTCGCCGCCATGAGGACAGTTACAAGCGTGAGCGTGAGCGTGAACGCGAGAGGGATCGAGACAGCAGGCATGGACATCGTGATCGTGACCGTGACCGAGACCGAGACCGCGACCATGACCGTGATCGGAACAGGGACTACGACCGGCATCGGAGTCATCGGGACTATGATCGACGACGGTAAATCAAGCAGTCGCAAGTTCGCTATGAAGGCCTTACTACCGGCTTATCAATACGACGCAGTGATACCTTTATTATCTGGGAAAGTGGTCAATTCTTTCCAGAGATGCATATTACGTAGACCAAAAATGATCCCAACGCAAAACCAAAAAAAGAAGAAGAAAAAAAGGAGATACTCAGTCATTGCACAGACACGTAAGAATGACACTTTTTATCACGAAATTATACAGTTCAATAAGCTTACAGTGACTATAGTCTAAAACAGGATCCTTGGGTATATGATATGCGTTCAAAGACCACAGCAACCCAACGCCATGCACTTCCCCACGAGCAAACGATGCTACCTTGCTGGCACGGTCAGTCTATCCATCTCAGCAGGTCCTTCATCTGCCCCGCCTGTCTTTGTGCTCTCCTCGGCATCAGCCAGCGATGTGAGGCGTTTTTCCTCCCTCGACTTCTTTGTCAAATTAAACGATCTCCGAATCGACATACTTCGATTTCGCTCGGATTTTCCTCCATCACGACCTCGGTCTCGATCTGGGTCTACCACATCTTCTAGGGCCTTTCCCTGTTTGAGCGCTTCCAGGGATCTCTTGGCAACGTCCACGTCTTCGAAAATGGCTTCCGTGTCGAGGAGAACTCGATCGATCTGTCCCGCTATGCCTCTTTGCTTCTCCAAATCCTGGATCTTCTCTCTCAACTCATCCATTATATGCCATCCCTCCATAATTTCCTTTTCCAACTGCTTTCGCTGGTCTTCTGGGAGCGCCTTATACTCCCTCTGCCCTTGGACAATGCGAGCCCGGCGGATGTATTTCTGGGGCGTCTTGGACCGCTCAGCCTGCTTCACGACACCTTTGAGTGTGTATCCGATCGGGCCAACAATAGCAGAGAGGTTTTTGAGGACCAAGCCTGTCAATCCCATACCTGTGCCCTTGACGAATCCAATCGGTCCATTTTCTTTTGCTCCACGAACCGGCAGGCGAACTACTCCTGTGAAGCCATCGTAGACTCCATACGCAAACTCATGCCGGGCGGCCCGGAGGCCAGAATGGAAGCCTGTCACTCGAATGGGACGTCGTACGGTATTGTCGCCATAGAGTCGAGGAGCATTGTGAAAGCCTTGGGCGAGTGCCATCGAGAGGTCCACTGGTGCCTTGGCAATGGCAGTAGCTGTCCTTTCCACACCGCTCGCTATGTCGCCCACATACTGACCTCCGGTGTCCCCAGCTGTCGTCTCAGTGCGCAACGAGGCAGCATCCACTGGGTCATCAGAGTCCGCCGGATTGTGTCGTGTTATGCTGTTGCCCGACTTCTTAGATTTCTTAGCATTCCTCTGATTCTTCTTCTTGCTGATTGATCTTGTTCTTTTTGCCCAATGGTAAGGAACGCTTGCAACGCCGTGAAACGCTTCACCGACTGTGCTAGCTATGGATCCGGCAATTCCTGTGACAGGTTCGCCGGGACCTTCAAAGTCATTCCATTCCACATGCCTGAGAAGTCTCAGGCGCTTCCAGGTCAACAGGCCGTTGTCCACTAGGATGTCGGCAGCCAAAGCACCCAGTTTAATATTGGTGTTTTTCAACTCCCAAACGGCTGTGTGATCTTTGAGAAGGGAGCATCGCAAGAGACTCGGGCTCCTTAGGTTCAGCTGTCTGTGAAACTCTTTGACGGCATTAACAGCGCCATCACCCTCCTCTGCGATTCGTTTGGCGATTGCTCCAGCAGCATCTCTTGCTTTTTCAGTAAGACAAAATTCAATACCTTCAGCAAGCTTTTCGGCGTTCAGGTGTTTGTATGGCACTGGCTCCGGTCCAACATTTGCGTTGCTCACCATCTTACCCCAAAAGTTTTGGTCGCCGAAGAAGGGAACGATCATTGTAGGCTTGCCACACTTGAGCGCAATGGCTGTTGTTCCGGCGCCTCCGTGAATGACGCATGCCTTGACTCTCGGGAAAAGCCAGTCATGGGGGGTGTTGTCAAGCATGAAGATATTCTCCGGAACATCGTCACCACCAAGTCCACCCCAGCCCTTAGATACCAGGGCACGAACTCCAGCCAACTCAACAGCTTTGAAGATCATTTGTGTGAATTTGTCTGCATCATCAACAACAATCGATCCAAACCCAATGTAGATTGGAGTCTCCCCAGCTGCTAGAAATTCCTCCAGTTCCTTCGGTGGCTCAAAAGTTGAAGCCAAGTCAAGAAATACGAAGCCAGCCACGTCAACCTCGCTTCCCCAGTCTTGTGGCTTTGGGACAAGACCCGGTGACCACAAATATGTGAATGGCACATGCAGGCGATATGTTGCACCTGGAGCCCAGAGAGTCGAGACAGGATCTAGAGATAAAGTCTTGACACGAAATTCGTTGACCAGATCTCCCAGACCTTGCCATACCATCATCTCGACTAGGGGGTAAGAGATGAAGTTTGTATATCCAGGGTCCACATTGGAATTCTTGATGCTTGCCAAGGGATGAGGGAAAGCTTGTGTAGGTGTGTAGGGAAAGGTAAACATTAAATGAACAGGAATACCAAGTGCTTCGGCGCAGTGAATATGTGCAAAGCTTGGAGGGTTAGCAATAATGACGTCCGCGACAAAAGGGTCCTTTTCGCCCATCATCTTTAAGTTCTGGCGGTCCGATTCGTCGTCTGTGGCATTGATGCATGCTCGCCAGAAACCATCAAACATGGTGGCCATTGCGGCTCGCCGTCTCCCAATATCTCCAGCCTTGACTGTCTCAAGCGTTGGGATCAGACCTGGATTCTTGACCATAAAAGCCATGAGCTCTGATGGATCACCCCCGACAGAGAAGAACTCAAGACCGGAATCTTTTTCGACAAATTCGCGAAACGCTGGATGTGTAGCGATGCGTACTCGGTGTCCATAATCCTCTTTCAAAACCTTGCCTATCTTCAAGAAGGGTTGGGCATCTCCTCGTGAACCAATAACCATGATCACAATGTTTAAGCGTGCTTGAGGTCTGGGATCCGTAACAGCTGTTGAAGAAGATGACCGGCGTGGGCTTTCGGGAATTTTGAGAGTTGACACCCTGTCCGCTTGTTCAGCCTTTGCAGGAGTAACCTTATTGACAGCTGCACCCAGAGCCTTAGTCAAGTATCCAGTGCCTGCAGTTTCGTTGACCGTGATGCGCAAACGACCGTCCTTTTTGACCTTGCCGGATGTTTGGTAGTTCTGATTACCAATGCTGAAATGGCCGTATTTACCCTCATCGTGGCTCGCCTTCCTACTTGCTTTCTCGCCTGCTTTCTTCTTGTGCTCACTATGATGAGATTCCTGCTGGCTGGTTTGCGGCTCATCCTCGCCAGCCGATGCTACCGAACTATCACTTGAGCTGAGCCTTGGGTCCTCTGGTGCTTCCCAGATCGCCTTGTTCAAATATGAGGTGCCAGCTCTGGCTGGACCGGGACGAAAGTAGGAACGGTGGTGATGAGCGCGCCGCGGTTGCTCAGTCTGCCAGGACTTGGTCGGTCTCGGTCGACTCTTTTGGGCTGGCGACTTCTTAGGTGAGATTGAATCGTCTGCCGTTGGCAGATGTGCAGGCTCTGACTGGACTGGTGTTTGTTTAACGCCGTCGCCAGGGTCGATGTTCTCCTTTGGGCTTCGCGGCGACAACGGACTTTCGGGGGATTGTATTGGGCGTGGGATAGGAGCAGGGTAGGCGACATCTCCATGAGTATCCGTGATTAGTGTTGTAGATTGTTGTCCATCGTCGTTGTTGTGGTGTTGCTCTGATACTTCAAGTTTAAGCTTGTTGGGGTCTTCTTGTTGAGAATCCATGGCACTGTATGACCGGTTCCTTTCGTTTTTCAAAGGTTTTGTGGTGTATTTCTTGAGTTGTGCGAGAAGGAAAGTTGTTTGGTCAAAGACAATTAAACGATATATCGCGATGTCTGCTGTGACGAACTGGCGTCGGTATCGTGTCACAGAAACATAGAGTAGTGCGTTGTTCGCAAACTTGGCGGTATGTTAGTTGCTACCGGAGTCGCGAATAGCAGCCCATGATTTACAGGCTTATAGTGTACAAAGGGTGAAAGAAATGAAGAATCTATGATCAGGGCCAAGGCAGTCCGAGGTGTCATTAACAATTTCCGAGCCGTCCCGTTCCATGAGGCGTCACGAGGTGAAGTCAGGTATGGGCCTCTTTGACGTTCAATGTCAATGCTCCTTCCCCAAATTCTGGTTGAAAAGGATACAATGATGTCACTTGCCGTGTTATCCACAGCGGGACCCCTTGGCGTTCGGCGGTTTTAGCTGCTTTTGCTCCGCGAGACTAAGGCTAAAATAATTGATGGGGTCACACAAGGTCTCATTCAGAACAAGGAACAGGCGAAGAATCGTCGATGATGCACCGCTAATTTAGTCCTCTCGGGACAGATGCCGCGTTTCAAGCTTCAAAAGGGCTGCATTTATGCTCATGCGTTGCATCGCATCGCATTGCTCTGGCACCAAACAGGCATGAGTCGAACATACCAATTCAAGGCCAGCCAGCCAGCCTAGTTGTGTGGCTCTAACGAGTCAATGAGTTACACATCTCGATCTGGGCGTCCAGTAACCAATGTTGTAAGTCATCTTTCCGGTTCTAAACTCAACCAATAGTGGCATGTTCACCTAACCAATAACCTGGAGCAGCAATTGGCCATCGTCATCCGACTACCTACCTACATCAGGTAGCGACAGAACTGAAGACCCTAACTCAGTAATAGAAACATGGGACAGAAACAAGGCTAATTTCCCTGTGCCTCGTTTGCCTGAGTCGTGGCTTGGCTTCTACGGACTGTATGCTCCGGGCAGCTTAGGCTATTTTGCACTACCCTATACCCGAATTTCTGATCGCGAGATATCTGGTAGGACCTCTAATAATCGAACCGAAAGAGAACAGGTGATCTTTACTTAACTAGACTAGCATACTTATGTTCAACTGAGTTTATGTCAATTTAGTTTTTAGTCACAAACCCGAAAACACCAGCCTCGAAGAACATGTTGAGGATGGTCATTGTGATACAGAGTGCGCAATATAAATAATGACATATTTATGTTTCTTAACCGGAAAACACTGCAGACATCGCCATGTACTACGTATTTACAAATGCCGTACTCCGATAGACCCGACCTCAGCTGCAACGCTCCTATAATCCACAGTCATCAAGGTCTACTGCAATGGAACACGCTCGAGGGTATCCGTCAAGATGCCTAGCTGCATCGAAACCTCGTCTTCTTGCCCTTGTCCATCAATCTCCTTCTTATCTATTGCCTCTCTCAGGCGCTTGGCGGCTGCCAGTAAGGGGCTTGCGTATCGATGCTCAACTGCTGCGGCCATTCCAGCAGGAACCAAGTGCTTGAAATCTTGACCACCAAATAAGAACAGAGCGAAATTGGCAACCTGAAGGTGAAAGGGTGCGAACTGGACCCAAAACTCCCACAAGGCCTCCAAATCTGTCTCGGCGAGGGACTCGAGATCCTCAAAGAGGGTATACTGAAGTGTGTCGAGGCAGTCCGGATCGGCAAAGCGGCCCGTTGAGCCGGCCTTGCGGGCGGCAATGATCTCTTCGCGTAGCCATGTCACTGCGCATGCTTTCAGTGACGAGAACATGCAGTTTTCCAACAAGTCTTCCAAAATACCCAACCTGTCTTCCTCGTGGGGATCTTCGTGAAGGATGTGACCCGCCAGCACGGTGGCTGCATTCCGTACCCGCAATGATGGATGGAAGACGGAAATGAGCGTAAGTAAGTGATGGTACGACATGAAGGTTACGTCCTTATCGTCGGTCCCTTTAGGTCCAATAATGCGCTTCTGGTCGTGGAGCCAAAGTGCAATGACTAGCAAGGCCTCGACAGTTCCAGGATTGCTCTCTATCTGCGTCTGAGGGTCATCTCCGAGGAATCGTTTCAGCAAATTGTGATGCTCAGGAAAGATGTAAGCGTCAGGTTGTTCGTAGTCGGCATCAAAGATATCTGATGCAAACATGCGATAAGCAGTCAAGCAAAGAAATCCACCAGTTGAGAGTTTGATACCCTCAGGATTCTTAGGATCAGGCTCGACTTCAAGTGGATTCACAGCAAAAGGTGACTGCAAGGCCTTCTTGACCTCAGCTGACGGTAGCTTCGCTAGACCCAGATCGCGAGCTACAGACTGAGAGAACATTAGTGCCAAGATCTCTCATTGGTCATTGCCACTTACAACCAGCTGTCCAACCAAAGCATCTTTGGCTTGGAGCTCGTCGACCTGCTTGAAAGCTTGCAACATAGTAGGTTTCCCTGGCACGATCCTCTCCGGATTGTAATACTCCAAGTGCCGTGCCGCCCACTCTAGCCTATTTGAGTTGACATATGCTTCGAGGATACTCGTAACAAATGACTGTAAGAGGCGCGATACTAGTTCAGCCTCACCCTCGGCGGCCTGACCTGCATCTGCCTCAGGATCGGGTGCGCTCTTGGAGATATCGCTGTCTTGAAATGGTGTTTCGAGCTTGGTGCTGGACTGGCGAGTGGGCAGCGGTGGTCGCTTTCTGCCAGAAAGAGACCGTGCGAGATCAATAACTGCGGCTGTCGTCTCGGCACCCTGGGGGTTGTATGCTCGGTAAACGGTCTGCAGTGTCGTATGAAGGAATCGTGATGGCGCCTTGACCTGCAGTCTTCTATGGAGGATGCCCAGCATGCCAACCAGAGTGATGAAATTTGCGCTCGCAGAGGCATCGCCGGCCTCAGAAGATTCGGCCTTGGAGTCAAGCACTTCAAGCACCTTGATAATGACCTCGCGGGGGTTCCCAAGGCGGGCAACGGTCTCGAGGCAACCTTGGCTACCAGGGACGGAGATTAGCATCTCCACGAGGTCCCAGCCAATATCGCTCGTAAGCTTAGCATCTTCGAGAATCTCCTCTAGAGTTGGAAGAACTTCGGGGGATAGATTCGTTTCGACTATGGTGAGGTATGTCAAGGCATCTGTGGTGGGGGGCCGAGTCTCTTTCAGTCTTTGAATAGCTTCGTCGACGGACACCATGATGCTGAATGAATAATCACTGTGCTGTGTTCTTTCCCTATAACTACTATACAGTGATCGATCGTATTCGTCTTATGTATTGACTAGCTCGATCGAAACGGTCCGGGAGGTTTGACAAGCTATACCTAGTTACTGAGGGGTCGATCGTTCGGCTCGTGACAGGTCTAGTGTGGTGAAGACAGCACAAGAAGTGAATGACGTTGGGGGCGCAAGAAAGATTGAGAAAAGCAAGTCAATGAGAGAAATAATCGAAAGGGATAAGTTTCCCCTGATCGATCGACAGCTTTTTTGTGATCTCGTTGAGATTGATGAAGGAACACAAAAGGAAAGCGAAACATGCGACGAGGGATGACGAGGAGCCTTTAGTGGAGACCGTTCCCACTTAGCGCGGGACACTTTCGTCATCACGCTTTTAGACATGAGCTTGTTTTCCACTCAATTTGGAGGCTCAAGACAGCAACACCACACTCTGATTCAAGTGTAAATGAGGTCCTGATTTTTGACTGTCCAGACTGATGGACTTATGAGAACATTCAACTGAGGCTCTGCCTTGTCTCTTTGTGCCCAGGCTAATTAAGCCAATAACAGTACTACACATTACTCAAAACGAGGTCTCCGCTTGATGTGCTACAGGGGTCAATCTTTGATCCTTCCATCGCCAAGCCTTCGCCCGCTCACCTTAAGTTCCATGTCAGCGTCGTTAGTTGGTGTCTAGGTAGCTTCGACATGAATTGTCGGCAATCAATAGATATGGCGAAGCAACATTAGAGCAAAGCAATCCATGGTATTAACCAACATGAAAATTAAAGGATAACGCAAAGAGCTACACATATGGTTTGCAAATATACATAGTACAGCAGCCCCGACCTTTCGTTTTCGCTTTAACGCCCCTGAAACCCATCCTCAGACCCCCAACCAACAGTAAACACCAGTCCCAGATGCAATCATACATATCCATACAACCAAATAGACGTCTCCGCGTGAGTAACTATAATACATCGCCAAACAATGTGTACAAAAGAAGTATACAACTACGCTATCCTGAGTTTCCTCAAGGGCGTGGGTAGGGTTACATCCTCGAGTTTTGGCTCCAGCTCTTGCCCGAGTATTTCGGCCATGTCATTTTTCTGGTCTCGTAGGCACTGGGCTTGACTTTCAGGGCCTCCGATACAGAGACGGGTTCTTCCATGGGGACCAGTTTCGGGTATGCTCTGTAAGGTAACACGCTCTGCAATTCTCTCTTGCTTAACGGCTTGTCCTTCTTCGGCGCTGCAGCTAGTTTGGCTTTCTGGACGTCTTTGACAAGCTCTCGAAGTTCTGCGTCGTCACTGACGATTTGGGCCTTGAGGAAGGGGATTGACTCTTGCGCTGACTCCTGAATACCCTGCATAATAGGTACTCGGGGAGTATACTTGATCTGTTCTAGTCTGGGAGCATGCTTCGCATCCGGAACGATATCAGGATCTAGTCTTGCAATTTCTCCCTTCTCCAGAAGTGTGCTGACATCGATACTTTCTCCAGGGGAAATGGGGGTTGGGTGGCTCGGAGTGACGCACTCCATGTCCACTTCTTTGCGCAACACATGGTCAATGTCCACAGCAGAGAAATAAGCACATGACTGAGGAAGGTCCTCAATGCCAACCTGCTGAGAGAACATGGCACGGGTCCACAGGTTGGCGACCTGCAGAGCAAGTGCAGTGCGATATTTGTCCGTATCCTTGACTAGATAGCGAATTTCGTCGTGAACTGTGATAGCAAGTCGAGCATCAATGTTGAACCTGCGGATCAGGTAGTCCATGGAAACGATGAGCAGGTGGAGGTAGTCAACACCCGATGATTGGATAGCCCAGTTGATTCTCGATGTCAGATAACCACCTTTGCTGATGTATCGTCCCATAAGAGCTTCAGTGATGCCAGCTCCCAATACTGGCGTCCTTGCCTTATCTTGCTCGGCGAATTCTTCCAACTTGTTAAAGACAAATGACTCGGTGCCGCCTCTCCAAAAGGGTCGTTTGTAGAGCACCTTGCGGTTGGTCTTGGTGCCTTTAGTATTGGCATATAGTTTCGAAGCCGTCTCCAGTGTCTCTTTTTCTGACAGATTGGGGTTAAACTGCCGCAACAAAGTCGCTGCGAACTTCAGACCAGCGCCATAGATTCGTCCATAATTGAAAACTTTGGCATCGTTTCTGGTAATGCCAAGAATCGAAGCGGTTCGTGAATGAAGATCGGTGCCGGCAGCCTTTGTGCCTTCCAAGGTCATGAACCCAACAGCATTTCCGCCGTGAAGCTTGAAGGTTGCGTCGCCGACAAGACTGGCAATCCAAAGCTCCTCCGAATCAACATCTGCTCCCACAAAGCAGTAGCCTTCAGGCGCCTTTACCATTGCCTTGAGCTCAGAGCCCACTCGATTCTTCTTGGCGTTACTAGCAGTAAGCCAGGTATTCTCGACTGCTCTGCGAGTTATAGTGCCCATTGGAATGATTTGTGGTAAGATAAAGCCGCTGGCACTGGCCTCCCCGCCTTTGTGCCCAGTCTCAGCTTGCATGCCTTGATGCGGAAGATCTTCTTGATAGACAACCATTTGAGATTTGATGCGGTCCCTCGCACTGATCCAATAAGAACATGATGCGTTCATTTCCAAAGCCTCCTTAGCATATGAGTACTCGGAGGACAAAACGCCGCTCTCAAAGTAAGCCAAATAGCCCTTTGCCATTGGATTCACACAGCGAGCCGTCGGGCCATCCTTATGAGGGAGTTTGAAGTAGGTATGGGTATGGTCATCACGTAAATGGATCTCTTTCTCGTCGAATTTGCATTCGATCATTTGTTTAGCTGTATATTTCGAGGCTTCCGCTCTTAGTACTCGAAATGTCCAACCATATTTGTCAGACCAGAACAGCGGGTGCCCGTCCCAAGCTAGTCTTAGTAACAGAGGAGCGATTCGCGTTCGAACAGTGATGCTGATAGGGGCATCGTTGGATTGAAAGAGGTCCTTGTACCACTTAGGCATACCCGGTTTCTTCTGCCTAGCTGCAGGTCTTGGGGGGTCGTTCTTCCGCTTGCCTTTGACCATTTTGATCTCTTGACCTGACCAGTCGAGTTGCTGCATCCAGGGGTCGTTTGTGTACGCCTCAGGCTTGTCCTTGACATCCAACGCTTTATCAGTAAGACTAATAAGTCGTTCCTCAACGGCATCATTGAGCTTGTGGTACGTAGCTTCGGCATTGGTGATATACGCATCCCACGACTTATCAACCGGAAGAATGACGGACGAAAGGTGCCGGAGGGCTGCGAAACTGACGGGGTGCGGACAGGTCTCTAGGAAGTTGGGGAGAACAATCTGGTAAATACGATGAGTGACTGACACGTCGGCAGCGCAATAGTCCAGAAGCTGGTCTAGTCTCTCCAGGATCTTTTCCCGGTCCAATTCGCTAAAGTCGTCACGAAGAGCTTTGTCAATCGAAACATTGAGGTGAAACTTGGCGACATCACGGAGAGAGTTAACGGAACTTCGTTCAACCCAGAGCTCTTCTTCATCATGCATGCCACTGGTCATCAATACCGCTAAATCATGGTCCGGAGTCTTGCTCGCAACTTGATCCCGTAGTTCTCGATTCTTTTTATGTCTCATCCAGGTAGGTCGCTGTTGAGAGCACATACCGTTTACAGCGACGTGGAGCGACATTGTGTCGAGAAAGGCATTTCGAGTCTGCTTGACACTATACTCTTCCAACACCCGCGCTCGGTCGAAGCCAACGTTGTGTCCAACAATAATTTTGGCCTTATTCGGGTCGCCTAATGGAATCAATTGTCGATCATTGGTGGTCTCCATCAACAGCCACGGCGACAGCCACGCATACCAGGCAGTCGGGCTCGAAGCGCAGGCCATCACAGCAAAGGGGCTAACTTTCCACATAACTTCCGTGTCAAACGACAACATCTCTTCATCAGGCGCATCGACTTTTTCGGTACGCCCATCAGGATAATATTTCGTCCAACCGCTTTGATGTATCCATTTTCGAGGCTTTGGTGGTGGATTGGCGCGGGCGAACTGTTTTGCATATGCCAGATACGGCTCGGCGCAATCCACCCCGAGTTTGTGAAAATGTTCATCAAGTGTGCGCCCTTGGAGAGGGGGAAGATCGAAAGCTATGGGTTCGGATTTATCGGTATTCTTTCCAAGCAAGTCATGGCGCCTTAAATGGTCTCTTGATAACTCGACCAGCTCTTGTGGTGGAGGTTTGACACCATCAGGGAAAATTTGGTCAAATATGTGAGAGCTGAGTTGCTGGACGCCTATCTCGTTATATCGGGCTTCAGAGGGCACTGCAATAAAGTTAGTCTGGTAGGGTTGTAAATGATCCATCCTTTCTTACGTGCAAGCGTGCCCTTTGGGTTCGATTTGATGTTGTCGGCGACAGCAGCCAGCCATCGGACATGAGCGCGCAAAGCATGACGACGAAAAGCCTGGTGTCGAGCAACTCGGATGAAGCTGGGCGTCGAACCGCGCAACGGCTGGGCAGAAGCCGATATGAGCATAATTAGGTGCAGTACGATAGCATCACGGCTTCTGATACTGTAGTTGATCCGCTAGGATGTATCGGTAGTGTTTCGTCTATATCCGGGCTGTGGTTGATAGAAGCAAGAGATAGCCCTAGAAGATAGAGGCCAGGATGATGAATTTAGCATTTGGATGGATCTTGACCAAATTAGTGAGGTGACACCCCCTGTTAAGTGGATGACGCTGTGCATTCTTGGTGGGTCTTTTCCATGTGCTTCAGATAGGAGTGGGGAATAGGATGCAAAGGGTCTAAAAAGATGGAGGGGCATGGTTTGAAGCAAGGTAAGTAGGGTTTGTAATAGAAGAGATATGGCAGAATACATGATAACGGATGGTGTCTTGAAGTATAGTGGCCAAAAAACTTGTATGGGGTGATTTGCTATGAACGTCTCACTTCTTGCAATTTCCTGTCCTCCAATCTACTAGGTAGTATGGGGCGCACGAAAAGTTATGCCTACTATACTTAGTTACTGGGTTCGATGTCCTTGAAGATATGGATGTTGTAAAGCCCAGAATCGTTACTTCAGAGGGCTTGTCTGCTAATGGGAGATATGAATCTCGTATGATGAATGCTTAGGTACTTTTATGTTGTCTTGTAGTTAAATGATAGAGTGGTGAAGCTCACATCAAGACCATCCACGAGACCTTGAAAATGCCCTTTCAGCCTACCCTTATGTTATCAAGATGAATGCTTAGCTTGAAAGCCAGGATATGAAACTAAACACTAGAGGAAATACCCGTCCATCCCTTGAGGGATTCTCTAGTTCAGCTTGAGGTTCCTGTGTGTTGGAAAGAGTTTTGGTGGCGTCTGGACTCGTGTATCCCACCCCACAAAGCAGATAGAAATTGTCATGAATACGATTTGCGATACAGAGCACCACTATTGAGTTGTATTGAATGGAAACATCGATTTGAGCAAACTCTGGTATCACTTGCGTATGGAATGTATCGTCGAGGCTATTGCGATATGCATCATGCAGGGACCCGAACGTGTCCAAGGCAAGCGTGAACGCCATCATCCGAGTGATGGTGGAATGATGACACTGGCAAGAAGTATGTATACCCCAGTCTCGATATCAGACGATATCACCAAAGTCAGGTGCCTTGTGACTGTGGCTGTCAACAGTCAAATCGGCTGCTGCTACGTGGAGGTTGGGTTGAGTGGACAGAGAGGGAATGATGTTTGCTTCACTCACTCCATAGACAACAGCGAATGAGCAAGATAAGGTTAGGTACATACCCGGGTTGCTAGGTATTAATCCCGGGTTGCTGGCATGGATGTTTTATGGCAATAAGAGGCTTCCTGCTGGCAGAGCCGAAACCCCTCGTTGGCTCACGCTCACTTCCATTCACATCAGCTTGGCTCAGCTCCCGCAGCCGGTCATTTGAGTTCGGTTGAGTTATTATGTGTGTGTATGGAAGTTATTTCTCATACTGTCTGTTGCCGATATCCTTTTGGTATCCCCAACTTCTTTACCCTTTCATCCTCTGCTGCATGTAAAGTCATTTGCGATACAAAGAGCCCCTGTTACTCTCCCTGCTCTTGACATATCGCGCGTCTTTGTGTCTTTGTATTGACCTGTTTCATCCCTTCGCTATCAGCCAGCCCAGCTTCTGGTTCAACTCGGGTCCGATTCGTACAGCCCGAGTCCAAGCTCAACCCTGCCCAAGACCAAGACGGCCCGCCCAAAGCCAGGCCGGGTTCAGCGGGTGGTTTAAAGAGTGGTGCATCTCCACGCTATTTGTACCATTTCTTCCCTTCCCGTGACATTGACGCCCACCAACAATGGAGCAAGAATTCTTGTATATGGATTCTCTACTCTCCTATATGTTGCAAGGTTAGAAATTCAAATTCACTTCACTTCTCTACCTACTATTTTGGACACTGTTTCCTTGCCTTGCCTTTGTCTTTTCTTGCTTCTGCCACACTCTAGCCGAATCCAATGTCCCCACGTATTCAATGGTAGCAAGTCAACTCCTGACGTTCCTTTGTAACCGATTGAAATAGGCAACGCAGACTTGTTTTTGGACTCGGCAAACGCCTATTACTCTCCTCCGATAACAATCTCCATGTCAACCACCACGAGGATAGTGTCACCTCCTGATTTTGCTGGAGCTGGAGCTCCACACCCAAATACACAACCGCGTTCGCGTTCTCAGAGGACAATCGACTTGGAGATTGATGAAATCAGTGCCAGTGCCAGTGCCAGCGCCAATACCAGTGGCAGCAGTGGCAATAGCAGCAGCAGTGGTGGTGGTGCGAGCCGCTCCCACATTCGCCAGACAACAACATCATCGTCTTTACCTCTAACGTACCTCTCTTTGCCACCATTGATTTCCAACTCTCGCCTCCGTACTTATCGAACTCCAAGCCCGTTAACAACCACCCAACGGCCGAGGCACTCCCATTCCCCTCCATCCCAGAATATCCAAACATCACCTTGGGGAGAGCCAGCGAGCGCATCATCAACACACATTGAGCTTCCGCCAATAGGTTCCTGGGAGAATGGCCACCCCGAGTCTTTGCATAACGCCGATTTAGAGAATTCACTGCTCGCTTCCGAAATCGAAGACAATTTCCTCGCCGACCTTGCTGATGGTGATTTTTCGTCACCTTCATCGTACCCACCGTTCACGAACCCCGATTCACGGCCGAGTCAGTCCCATAGCGTAAGCCTTCAATCAACCGTTCAGGCTTCCACGCCGCATCGTGCATTCCGCAACACCACCGCATCCACCAACACCACTACAAGTACAACGGCCACTGCTGCTCCACGAGAATTATCGTCCACCAACTGCATCCTCCACCCTTTCGGCCCTGAGCGAACAACAACCCAGCTCTCCTCGGCTAGCAACTCTACTGGCGAATCTCAAGCATCGCTGCCTGTTTTCGACTCCCTCGAGGAGAACGACTTCTTCTTTGACAGTCCCGCAAGCTCCTTCTCTGAAGCTATGCCGCCCGCGACTCGGCGGAGTACTACAGCTGCGGCTGCTCGAACTGGTTCAGCGCACGCGAGTAAGCGACGACGAACATCGACGACTGCTGCACCCGCGGCCCCCCCAAGACCGACGTCGAGACAGAGAAAGTCACCCGCAACCAGAAAAGACATGGATGTTGAAGAGCTATTTGGCACAAGCCCTACTCGTTCCCCCATCGACGTTGAACCCAAAGCCGAATTCGACACCATCGATCTAACCGAGAACAACGAAGTGTTCGAGGAAGTCCGAAAGCCAGAAAAGGATGATCGCGTCAAGCTTGCTGCCTTTCAATGTGTCATCTGTATGGACGACTGCTCTAACCTGACAGTCACACATTGTGGTAAGTAATTTCGCTTCTGGTTTTGAAGATTCATGATAAGATTCTAACGTAGCCCCAGGTCATCTATATTGCGCTTCTTGCTTGCACCAGTCTCTTCATGTCGACGTCACCAAAGGAAAGTGTCCCATGTGCCGTCAAAAACTTGACATGAAGCCTCGGGAGAGCTATAACAGCAAGACCAAGGGATATTGGCCCCTTGAACTGAAGCTCATGACTGCCACACGGAAAGGAAAGCGCAAGGCCAATACACTGTCCTGATGTGATCGACAACCATCTACAACGGCGAAGGTTGTGATTCTCTGAACTCATAGCGCAATTGAGTACTTGTTTCAGAGTTTGATGGCTAACCCTAATGCACCAACGTTGTTGCTACGTGGCACTCCGTTTAATCGGCATCCGTGGATACTTGGAACTCGTCACAGGTACGGGATTGTGCTAACCGCCACACGCCCTCGTGGCTTATATAGTGTTTTTTTCTTTAACGTTACGGCGGGCGGGTCACTTTGGGGCGCCAGATGAAGATACCCAGCATTTACAGGGATAAGGGGAACATAGGACTGCATTGATTTAATACGCGACTACGGTTGTTGCGTCGCTCAGGAAATGGCGCACTCGGAGTAACTACCCTACCTTAGGTAGGCGAGGGATACGTATCGTGCCGTACCCATGGAAAGGACACAGACTCATCCATAGGGTTAACCATTTGGTGTTTAGGCAACAGTATATGGCACATAGACTTTAGACCTCTGATACAGTTTGATTTGCTTTGTGCCGACCCTAGGTGTCGAATATTTGAAGCAGTCATTATGAATCGATATGTAAGATGTCAGAATATGTGAAACCCATTTGTTGAAAGCATACCCATCCCAATTGCTTGTCATAAAAAAGTGTAGAAGAGCCTGTATTCCTCTTCCCACCATGCGCTTAGACTCACAACAGGTAAAATCAACATGAGGGGTCGCTTTTCATGTCTTGTCTTGGTACTAACGTGCTTGATTATTTCACCAATACGGACTAAACCACACTCAACGCATATTCCATTCCATGCTATCCTGTCAACGCCGCATAACTCTACAGCTTATATCCCATCTTGACACACATTCCTTGATGTCATTGCAAATTATATCTAAGGCATCTCTCCTTCTCTTAGACTGGCTTAGTGGAAGAGACCGTGGCTCTGCTGCTTCGGCTCAGGAAGGACTTCATTCTCGAACTGCGAGTTTGTTAGTTGCTTGGTTGTGTATCTGGGGGATTGAGTAAGCGTTACCTCAAGGAACCGTGTCGCTGCGATGATAACCATTAGCCCTTCAGCCAGTTCTTCAATCTTTTGATCCAGGCCCTCATCCGCGTTGCCGCTTCCGATACCCGCGCTTCGTTTAAGCGTATGCGTGACGAGCATCCGATGCTCTGTGAGGAATTTGCGGCCCTGCACCACATTGTGGCTGCCGCGAGAGACAAGGGCGGCACCGATAATGCGCACGACTTGAGCAAGAAGGCAATAGTGTTGCTCAAGAGCACGAGGGTTGGTGTTATTTATTTGAAGCTCGGGGTCTGCTCCGAAGAGCCCAGAATCCTCAAGTGACCGGAAAAGGTTGGAATGGATGATGTACTTGGCTCCGAATCGGGTCTGCGCAAGCTCAAGGAGTAGAGCAAGGCGAGCGTTCTGGTAATTCTGCTGCTCAGGGGTGCCTGAAAGAAAGAGTCAGCAGTAGTTTCGGCAAGGAAGCAAACAAAGACATACCTGATGTGAAGACTTCATGCCACTCTCGCATGATATTTCGCAAAGAATCCACCATGATACCGATGAAATTAAGTCGGTTGAGAGTCTCTACGACATGGTCATCGCTCTCCTGACGGCCTAGGCTGACGAGAGCGTTGAGTAGGATCAATGCCGCTGTCTGGCATTGAGCTTCACCACCGTAGGCATCATCGCAGATAACATTTATCAAGCGCTCGCCATACACTTGGATCGTCTTGATAGTCTTGGGACGATTCGAGATTAGAGATCCTTGATCAGCCATGCCAGTCAGGTAGCGGTAGCAGATACCATAGTAAACGGATCTCAACTCTGGGGTTCCAGCCCACTTGCCGATAGCTTGCAAGCAGATCTGGAAAAGTTGAAAGAGTTTGTCACTCACGAGATTACCGATGGCTGAGCCTTGCTTGTCGTCTGCTGACGCTGAGAGGTCAAGCTTGAAGAGTAAGACCTTGGCCAGTCGTGCAAGCTCGAAAGCCTCATCTGGCCGTTCAGACGCAAATGCTTCTAAACTGGGTAGAATTGATTGCAGAGCCTGCAGGAAGAAAGAGGTTTGTGCTGAACCCTTGAAGTCGTTCGACTCGATCATAACGAGTAAAAGTTTCGTCCATGTCTTCAGCACCTTGAGGCTCTGTGTTGTGAGCTGCTTCTGTCGATTTGAAGAAATGAGGTACTCTATTATCATGCCTTCTTCGCGTTCGATAGCGGCCAGATCTTGAACTGCAATCAATGCCCCCGATACTTGAGCCTCACCTCGTTTCAAAAGCAAGACTTCTTTAACACGTTCGAGGTTGTAGATTGGGTTGGAGTCCGCGTCGTTCTCTAAACAGGCTGAGAGGTCGATATTTTTATAGTATTGAAGAGGGGGCAATGGGATCTCCCAAACGCCCTCTGGGAGGAGGAAGTCATAAAGGTCGAAAATAGTTGGAATTGGTATAGGTGTGTTTCCCTCTCCAATAATCTGACCATTCAGAGCCTCAAAGATGCGGCGCTTCACGCTGGGCATACGGTTCTGAGCTATGCTACAAAGCTCCATAGCAATGTATTCCAGGCCCATACTTCGGAGAGACAAGAAGTCGATTAAAGCCACAGCACCATCTGTCACAGGGAACTGCACCATGGCGACATTCTCGCCTTCCCAAGGGAGGTCAGGATTGATGACTGTTTCGCGCAACAAAAGGTGGAAGAGGATCTCATTCTCACGAAGTTCCTCGACCACAACAGGTGCAGATAAGGGCGAACCCCAAAGGATGTGTAGAATGCGCATCACACGTGATTTGATAGCGATGAGCCACTGTCGCATTCCTTGGGCATCGCCAGAAGGAGCCTCCAGGAGCAGTCTTAATAATGTGTGGAACAGAGAAGTTCTCGAAGCGAAGGCGCCCTTAGCATCCACGGACAGAGAGTCAATGCCGCACTTGAAGCCGAGAAGCAAGTGTGCAATCGTCGGCTTGCGAGGTGTCTCTTGCAGGCATTGATATAGGAAGTCGAGAATGTAAATTTTGGTGACATAAGCTGGGGAGTCTGCCTCACGCCCAGTTTCGAGAGGGGTTATCAATTCCGAGACAAATGATCGGGATATGGCTTCGTGTTCCCCGTTCGCCTCCAAGGCCACAATAGCCTTGTTACGGTGCATTTGACGATTAGAGCCTGACCAGACAGCAGTAATTTTCGACGAAGAAGACATCTTCTCGAGCAACTTTAGGCATGCAAGAGTGAGGTCTGGGTGTCCGATGCCACAATAGTTGCCCAGATCAACAACCAGGTTCAGTCGAGTTACCAGGCCATCTTCAAATGAGGCAAATGCGGCGTTCGATACAGGAGGTCGGCGCTGGTTTGATTGGAGTTTGATGATGGGCCGAACAAGCTCGAGATAGGTGGCCTGGAGGTCAAGGACCTTGCTAATAACCTCAACGGCACGTAAGATGCCAAGAATAAGGGGAGAGTCCGGTACAGCATTCCCAACATCTACAGGCTCTTGATGGATTGTGTTGAATAGAGCAGCCATGACTTTGTCGTTAAACATCCATTCCATCACTCTGGCAAAAGGATGCATGCGGACATAGGTTGCTAGATCGGTAGTTGCGATAACTCCATCGACGTTGATGTTTGTTTCATTAGCCATGATAATAAGATCCTCGTTGAATGTGTTGAGGCAGACCAAGATAAACTCTAGGCAGCTAAGGCGAAGAACGCGAGTTTGGTTCACATCTTGAAGGTCATTTGCCTTGGTAGCAAAAACCAGTCCCATCACGAAGTCGACATAAACCTCGATACCAGGCATGCGGGAAGCTGAACCGAGATTTTCAGGGAACGGTAATCCGTCATTGAGGGGGCTGCTATCGATGGCTGGTGATATAAGAGAAAGTAAGAGTTGAATAAAAGACTCAGGGTCCTCAAAACCATTGCTAATCTCATCAAAGATACGGTCCATAGAGACAATTGGTGATTGCTGAGCTTGGCGAGTGATTGGATGAGAGGCGTACCCTCCTGTGATCCAGGTATCAAGGCAATTCCACATAAGAATGCCCTCCTGAAGCGACTTTCGTGCCATCAAAGCTCGTAGAGCCATAAAGGTACAGCCGCGTAAACGTGGGGGAATGGGACTGCTTGCGAGTTCATACAATGTTTCAACCAGGCTATAGTTGGGGTTGTGAAGGAGAAACTGTCTAGTTGTCTCGCTTTCGCTGGCCAGCTTTGACATTAATCGAAGGTAGCATTCAAGCATCATGGCCGATTCTGGTTCGGTCTCTGCTTGATCACTGCTCATCTTTTCATTTCGATAACGAATTGTCTGGGGCGGTGTTGGCTTCTGCCTTATCTTGGCAGAGAAGAAGTCTAGCTCCCTGAAGATTTGTGCCCATGTTAAAGACTGCGATTTTCTCATCTTCCCGGATGAATGATGGCCCTCATCCATCAAGAACTCGTGTGCGGCGGAAGCGCACTCCTCATTTTCCGAAATAGCCTGAAGCATCTCGCAGAAAGCTGTTACCAGAGGCGTTGACGCTCTACGAGAAGCCCAATGCATGAAGCCAGCCAGGTTACTGTCGGGATCGGACCAAAAATTCATAGCAGCATCGGGTCGGCCCTCGTAAGCGTACGCAATGATCAACAAGAATCTTTCGAGATCTAGATCCTGCTCGTGAGTCTGGCTGGATTGGCGTTGCTCATCCTCCTCCACACGAAGCTTTCGTAGCACATCGGGAAGGTTAGAGATAAAGCCATCGACAAATACTTCAAGCTGGAGCATCAGAGTCAATTGGAAGAAGTCGGCGAACGGTATCGCATCTGGTGCTAGTGCAGGAGACTTTCGCTGGAGCCATTTGCGCATGCCTGCTCTCACAGGGTCGTGCCAATCAGGAGACTTAACATCAGCAGCGATGGAGAGAAGAAAGTCAAAGGATCCATCCTTCAAAGACTCCAGGAAAGCTTTTGATCGTTGTCGATCCTCCTCATCCAAGTCGGTGTTGGGGGGGATTGCAGCCTCTGGAGGATCATCCACATAAAAACCACTATACTCGGCGAGCCACCAAGCACGGAAAGCAGCTTGTAGCTGAGATAAAGGCCACAGAGGACTGTCCGCAGGAAAGAGTTTGCCATTCAACTCACGAGCCTTGATGAGGTCATATCCTCCTTCCGCAGACCCGAACACCGAAATGTATGCTCCAATTGATGGTATAAGGTGGACCAGCAGAGCATCATACCTATCAACTTTCTGGAGAACCGAAACGAAATCAAGAAAGTCTTGTGTTGACCCTTGCCTCATTTCAATACTCCGGCAGAGGATGACACCCAGTAGCTCGTGTTGTTGCATCAAGCTGACTTTGGAAAACTCGATAGTCTCCATTTGTTCAGAGATGCCCCCCGTTGTAGTTTGGCCAAGAGTCTGGGCAGCAGCGATTTTGTCTCCTATCTTCTGAAGCCAGGCCTTAATCTCCTTCATGGAAGCCATGCACCTAGGTACTATCCGTTTTGTGGCATCTGCCCCCATGCTTGGCTGAAGCAAACGTTCTGCCACGTAAAGCTTAACGCTCTCGAGAGCTTCGGTGTCGGCGAGATCATCGTCGAGGCCTTCTAGCTCGAGGAGAAGTCTAACAATATCCAAA